GAAGAAAATCTGTCAACATATATTAATTCTCTCTCTCTCTCTCTCTCTCTCTCTCTCTCTCTCTCTCTCTCTCTCATTGCAGGTGTATATACTCGTAGCAGATGAAAAGCAGAGGCTTCTCCAGGAACATACATAAGCGACCAAGATTATAAAGTTCGGTAGGACAAATCTACACGACTTAAAATGTTTCACTTGAGATGATAGGTTCTCGCTTTCAAAAGGCTATTATATAGCCTTGATCACGATGAGGTCCAAACCTCCTAATTATGTATAGAGGTTTGTATTTTTTTTTCAATTCAGCTGTATAATATTATTTTCTTTTCTACGTATGAGTAGCTTATATAATGTTTTCTAATGATTTTAAAAATATACATACATAAATTATTGTACATGTGTTTGGCCTTGAATGTTAAGTTAAAGACATTGGAAGAATCATGGCTTGTAACCATTTCTATGGTAGCGCAGAGCACACAGTTTGCAGCCTCGGCATAAAAGTGAAGATGGAGATCAATGTCACAGTTTTATATCAAATCATCAAGAAGGAAATTCCAATCCTGCGGCTTATAAAACTAAGAAGGGTTCATAGAGCAAGCACTTTCTGTACACTACAGGCAGATTGTAGAAGCTTACAGGAAATTGGACTATGACTAGCTATGAGGGTTATCGTAGGTCAATTTTTCATTAAGACATTAGCCATAGCAATCAAGGCTCACGACCAATAGAGCAAGTATTCTGGCATTAAGTATACAAGTTCAATGTAAACCAAGAGTAATTTGACCCAATTAGTGCGCGAGATTCATTTTGGAATGAAAAGTGGTAAATCAAAGTGGCTGACAATAAAGAAACAGTTAAAAGTAGTGTTCTTAAAGTAAATTATTAATCAAAGTTAAAGAAATAGAAAAACTGAGGTTTAAACATATAAAACCACAACCGATCACCACCAAAACCTTCACAAAATTAAGGTATAACCCTCAACACTATGCTTGGCCTTGTTGTGTGACTCAAGTTCAGACCTGGAAACATCAACATAACACAAACATTTTTTTTTATTTTTATAAATTTAGAACTTTAACTTGCTCACCGCCACCACCAGCCTTTTGTGCTCATTGCTTGGGCTAATCACCTATAGTAGCAGTCTTACCACCATCATCCTCGTCTCCACCATCACATTTCTACAATCACATAGGCAATTTATGTGTGATTAGTACCAACAACTAGTCAAACTATTGAAGCTTCTCTTGCATGAAGTTCAAGGACAGAAACAGAAAGACTATATTGGTTAAAAGCAAGAGGTCTAAAACCAACAGCTTTTTGTAAAGGCCTGAGGCAAGCAACACCTAGCCAAACCATTATTGCATGTTGCGATTGATTTCAATAGTTCAATGGTGCCTGCGATTTTGGATATCATTTGTATCCAGGATGACTTTTTGCATGCCGAAAGCTCTCATTTTGATGGAGATAAAGTGGCCATAGTATCATATGGTGTTTCGGACTTGCAGGATTTACAAAGAAGAATAAAAGCTATTGAAAAGGCAATGGTGGAAAAGGAAAGGCATTTTTCCGCAAATCAGGGAGAAAAGAAACTCAAGGATGGGGTTGGAAACACTATGAAAAAGCGTGAAAAAAATTAGAAATTCCACATCGAAAATTCACACTCCTATTAAGGTGTTTATAAACAAAGCACAATGATGATTTAGTAAGTGCAGTTAACATTGGAGAGTTGGGCTAATGGGCTTGGTTTTGGACTTGGCTTCCATTAATAATAATTAAATTAATCAAAGACTTCGGCCTTGGGCCTTGGGGCTCTTGGGCTCTGGGGAAGTTTAATTCAAAAAAATAAATATAAACTTAGGATGTTTACGTTAATTAATTTTTTAAAATTTTATTTTTAGTAATTAAATAATATATTTGATTGATTTAATTAGTTAAATTAGTAATTATGTTTTAGTTATTATTTAATGAAAAAAGAGAAATACATATTATGCTACTTAAAGGCTTTGTAAAATAGTATAGCCGTGCGGCTACACTTTTTTTTAAAAACATTAAAAACACAGAGTATAGCCGCGCGGCTGTACTAAATTTTGTTTTTCTTTTTTAATTTTAAAAAGGACCCTCCAACGATTAGACGCCACGTGTCACTATACTATTTTTGGAAAAAAAAAAATCGCACTACGGACACACGGCTATACTATTCTAAAAGGTCTATCTATAGTATTTAATATACAAATTTAAAAAAAAA